TGGCTTTGCTACATAACATTTTGTATGTGGCCTAACATCGTTGAAAGCAGACACTAGAAAAGGAGAAGGCAACCAAAAGGTCTGTTGAAGATCTCTTGAAAGCTAGATTTATAATTGAAACCATATATACTATTTGGTTGTCTAATGTTGTGTAAGTCAATAAGTTAAACAACAAATGACACATTGCATCGATTATTCACTTATGAATTAAGTGTTCCTTAAAGACACATATGTATACCAAACATGCATAAACAGGTTGATAACTCATTGAGATTCAAAATTTTACTGTTCATGGATGTGTGCTCAAGCTACAGCCAGATTCTAATGGACCCTAACGACAGTAGCAAAACAAGGTTCGTGACAGATGCGGTGAAGTAGTGATACAATGTAATATCATTCGGTCTCAATAAAGCAAAGGCATAATACCATAGAATGATGAACAAAGTATTCCAATATCAAATATGTGACATGTTAGACAATATGATTGTGGGTTTTACTGAGAAAATTGATCACTTGAACAAGTCATATTTAGTGAAGTTAAGAGACACAACATGCGCTTAAACCCTAATAATTGCATATTTGGTGTAAAAACTAGGAAATTCCTAAGGTATTATCTCACATAGATGAAAATATAGTCAATCCAGATAAATATATTGTCAGGATTATCATTGCAATGCCTAAGACTGAGAGATGGATTCAATGATTAAATGAGATATTAATTTCCCTGTCAAGGTTCATATACAGATTTGCTCATCACACCTTGTAGTTCTATAAACTGCTAAGAAAGTAGGCAACATTTGAATGGACTTATGTGTGTGAGACCATATTTTCCAAACTCGAATAAGTATTTCCTCAACCTCTCGTTCTAAAGATATGACTAATATAAGTGGTCCTTAAAAATAAGTCATTCTCCTTAATAGCAATGAAACCTTGTTTTCAAACATGCTATTTAAAGTAGGAAGTTTTATCGTGATCAAGACAAAAAATATATGGATGAAGAACAAGTAAGAACTTGACCATCCGATTCATCAATATTTATATAAGAAAACACCTATTAACCAGGCAAAAAAAAATCGACAAGGCAACTATGAAAGTAGATGTACCATTGGGTAAAAGGGGTTGACAAAGATCACATAGGTATTCAACAACTTGCAGGCCAAGACAATATTTGTAACAATAGATCTTCATATTTACAACACAATAATGATAGTGCTCACATGCAAAAATATTATTGGTTATGTTGCACCATCTCATATATCAATGTTAATTGATAAGGCTACTCATGGGTCCTTTGTTTACATCTAAAAATAATTAAAGTGTTAGCCAATATCGACATATAGAAAACTTTGGGGTTAACCAATGGTCCCCTAGTCAAAGCAAAGCCAGGTGAATACAATCAAAGTCGAGTGTGAACCAACTAAATCTTTATCAAGTCTATATATATCTAATGTGGTCTTCAAGGATCTAGACATTGTTAAAAGAAATTTAAGAGTGATTAAGTGTGCTTTATGGACACATTCTAGGTTTAAAGAGACACTAATCAAATGAATAAAGATTGTGGAGCTACAAGTTATAAAAGTTAAACACCCATAGAGGAGTCAACATAAGGTCGAGAAGCAGAAGACAACAACCAAATGTGGGATGCTACATATTCTAGAAATGGAAAGAACAATCACACATTATCCACATAATAGCTTAATGGGGCAACATTTTGTGTAGGTCACGATGTTATAACCAATAGGATATTTTCCTCTATAAATATCACATTTTGGAAATTTTCAACAACATCTTATCAATCAACCAAGTTATTTTACGCATTTAATATTTTATGTTGTTACTTTATATTTATGCATTTATTAGGATAATAGTTCAACTTTTCATACCCATACCTAACATTTTTTTATTGTTAAGGAATCCACAACCAAGGGATAAAGTTCCTTCTTTGCATAATCATTTGAAGAAAAAGAGAATCCATAGTTAGAAATATCAATCAAAACTTGACTAAACTTTCATAGTTTGACAACAAGAGAATAAGCTTTCATATGTTACCAATTTATTCTTTAAAGGATAAACTATTAAAGGATAAAATCTTGGTATTATAACATAGCATAAAGAAAAATTTAATTTTGTAGCGTTAACTAAGTCATGAGGTAGGTCGTATTGATGCTAGACAATGTTGCGCCAAATCCATCGTATTAAAATTAGGGAGTTTCTTGATGCACCCTTTAAGTTTCTTAGGCACCATGCAAAAATACATAAATGCCCTCAGATTCTGAAGATGCATATCCTGGTGCACTAAAGACTTAATTAACGTTAAAATATTTTAGAGATAATATTTTGGAGATGCATCTCCGAAATATTTTAGAGGTTAAATCGTGTCAGACCCTTCTCCTTCCTCATTTCTCATTTTGCTCAAAAACAAATTCAAACTCTCTCAACTTTTTTCTCTTCATCAAGTCAAAAACAAATCAACAAAGCTCAAGGGAAATTCAATCAACATCTGAAACATCATCCAACCCTGAAGGAACGTTGAAATTTGTATGTTTTTTGAGTTTTTGATAAGTTTTTGAGTTTTTGTGCAAATGAGTATAAATTGATGATTAAAGTTAGAAATGAGTAGAAATTGCATGTATGATAGTTTATATATAATATATTACACGTTTGTTGGATGAAAGGGATGATCAAAGTATGCTTTTTGGGATTGCATGGGGTACATTGCCACCATTGACGCAGTTGCTGAGTTGAAGAAAATTTCGGAGATGCATCTTCGAAAATTTTCAATGTTTTAGTTTCTCATGTTCTAGAGATGCATCTCCGGAATTTTCGTAGTATTTTATTTTTATTTTCATGCCTGTGGTGTTGTTTTCCTGCACTCATTGTCTGCTTTACTTTAACTTAAATGCATAATGGTTGATAGACACAATAAACTAAGGCACAGGAGGGTTGTATAACACACATCAGCGCGGTGGGAGAAGAATCAACAGGTTTCATAGGCTCTTGGTCCCTTTGTCCATGCATAACCATCTATTTATAGGGCTCGTGCTTCTCCTCATGCTACTTCATTTTCTTCTTCCCGTAGGAGACGAGATTCACCTAATGGCGCATCACTCTCTCCATTCTCTCGCAGGCGTCGGGCTTTCCCTATTCAGACGTCTGAGGTACCCGATTCACCAATGCCACCTTCTATTGTAGATGCTTATAAGTCTGTGTCACCTCCTAATGTTAATGTTGTTGATCCAGTGCCACCTACAGAGGATGAGGCTGCTGCGGTTGCTGAGCCAGAGGCATTTGGAGGAGGCCCTGTAAATTTGTCATTATTGCCTTTGTACCCGAACCATACTGTCAGACATATCTGGGACGGAGAGGTAGCATTAGTTGGATTCACTCTTTTTTATTTATGTTATTGACAAATTTATGACATTGATTTTTATTTTTTTTTCAGGAGCGTGGTTCGCATAAATTTATTAACCACAGGTGGAAGATTACTGGTTTGCCTCGGTCGAATGAGAATTGGTTTCAGACATTTTTGTCCTTATCTGGTCTGAAGGACATGTGCATGATAAGTTATACTACGGTCAACCACGAGATGCTTAATGCATTTGTGGAGAGATAACACTCGGAGACCTCGTCATTTCATTTCCTGCATGGTGAGATGTCTATCACACTCGACGATGTCTCGTGCATTTCATTTTGACATCATGCTACTTTATCATTGTTCTCGACTTTTTTGACATTTATTGGTCTTTTATTTATATTGACATTTTTGGACCATCTAAATTTATGTACATCTTTTATTTTTAAATTTTGATTGTATAGTTTAAAGCTGTATCTGAATACACGTAAACAAATCATAACATGAAGAGTTATGTTCTGATACGTTAGAAAAAGCTATCTCCGTAAAATTCACAGAGATGCATCTCTGATACAATACACGTATATAATGACTTTTAAGTGAAATATATAATATATTTTAAGTTGTTACGAAAATACGTCTCTAAAATATTTTTACGTTCAATCAAAATTTAATGCGTTAAAAGACATATTTCTAAAATCTAAAATATTTATGTATTTTTCACATGGTACTTAAAAAAAAACATAAAGGATACATTAAAAACTCTTTTAAAATTATGGTGCTCGATAATGTACTCAAATCCCATCTGATAGAGATCATGATACCAAATGGTGCTAAGTTTGCTCCTTCTAATTCCAAAGAAAAAGTCCATAGTTTGTTTCAACACATTCACAAGAGCGTAAATTAATTATATTGTAACAAGTGATTTTTTATACAAGTAAGAAACATTAGAGTAAAATCATTATCTTACATCTTGATATTTTGTTATTTTATCAAAATTAAAATTATAAGTCATTGTTTTTCAAACCACTTTAAATTTAATAATATATTCAAATGTAATATATATATTAAGTCATAAAATTATTTTATCTATGAAAAATAAAAATAAAAAGATTAATTAGAATAGTAAAAAGGAGGACCCAACTACGACACTAACAAAACAAATATAAGAACAACAATTTTAATCTTGATGCTCACTACTTAATACGACACACATAAACGATACAACTCCATTTCAAATCATCGATAATATATCTTTGACTACCCCAAACAAGTTTATTTGTAATAAATATTTTGGATCGTTAGATTTATTTGTCTTAGTTTGAGATGTTTTGATGAAGATCATGAGAAGAGATATATTTTAATAATTATGATGAATTTTGTTTTATTTTAATTTGTTTTCTAATAATTTTAGTTTATTTTAATTTGAGATTATAATCATTTTAAAGGTTAAAGGCCTTTTCTACTTCTAATTTGAGTGGGTTTTAATTTCTCTTTTTTTTTTAATCGAAATTTCATATTTATAATATAAAATTATTTTTTTCCACCATTATAACATCGAATTGTACAAATTTCATGTTCCGAAATATATTGACATTTTAATTTTTTTTACACATTTAATATTTTTATATAATTACCATATAGAATAATGGGTCGCGGGAGAGGGAGAGGACGAGGGCGGCCACGTTTGGTGCCACCGTCAACAACCAACCCTACGGCGGCCATCTCAGATCAGCAAGCCACGGAAAAAGAAACTATTGTGGACGATGCAGTGCGAAATGATTCAGAGGAAAATGGAAGCCTGGCGGAGGAGAACGAAGAAATTGTTTCTGATACAGAAAATCTAGGTCATCACATAACTGAAGTAAGAATGGAGGGGGAAACTAGCTAGACGAAGAAGCTCTGGGTCGACGTCATCAATGAGAATCGTAATCCGGCAAAGGGTCTCACCATGGAATTCGTTGCACCAAAGATTATTGATGGAGAAATGGAAATCCAAATTGAAGAGGAAGATGTTGAAAAGGAAGTGAAATTCTGGGAGTCTGCCCTCATCATGTATGCCCTGGGTGTGGACCTCAGCATGAATGCAGTGAAATAGTTCATGAGCAAGAACTGGAATTTTGTGAAGCTACCTGATATGTTCTATAATGAGGAAGGATTCTTCATCCTTAGATTCCACTCATTCCAAGACAAAGACCTAGTTTTGATGAAGGGGCCGTACTCAATCCGCAATAGACCAATGATGTTGCGTGAGTGGAAACCTGATTTCAGTATGAACAAGGATATGCTTAGAACAGTTCCGTTGTGGGTGAAATTACCTCAGCTACCTCTACATTTGTGGGGCGCGCGAAGCCTGAGTAAAATAGGCAGTGCACTAGGAACACCGCTGGTTACGGATGAATGCACGGCAAACAAGCTCAGGGTTTCATATGCTCGTATCCTGGTGGAAATTGACGTTACACAAGAGCTAAAGACACACATTATCATAAGAGACGAAAAAGGTGCACGACTGCAACAGCCGATAGAATATGAGTGGAAACCTCTTTACTGCCAACGTTGCCAAAAGGTTGGTCATAACTGTGATAAGCCCTCTAAGCCTACCAAAAAATGGAAGGAGAAGGTGAAAGAGCAGACACATAAGGAAAGGGTGCAAGCCAAGGCCAGTTCAAGTGGAACAATAGTAGCAGGGGATACTAGCAATGATACCCAACATAATGATGAGGGGTGGACGCCGATCATTAGCAACAGCAAAAGGAAAATCACAGGTAATACACATGAGGATGAAACTATCCAATGCCAAAATGGGTTTGGGCTGTTGGGGATTGTGAATGACCCTGGAGGCAGCCAAAACACTAATCCATGTTAGTATCCTGGAATGTGATGGGCCTGAATAAATTGGTTAAGACTAAAGAGGTTAGCTCCCGCCTCCGTTCTCTTAACCCAATGATTTGTATTTTGCTTGAGACTCGCGTGAAGCAAGATAAGGCTGATACTATTAGGTGCAAGATGAAGCTCAAAGGCTTGTTTATGGATAATTATGCTGATCATGCTAATGGTAGAATTTGGATATGGTGGAACAATGCTAAGATTGAAATCAGGAAAGTCGATAGCACTGGGCAACTACTTCATTGTGGTATCTATGATATGCAGGGTATGTTTCAATTCTGGCTTACAGCAGTGTATGGCGCAAACAGAATGGACTGTCGTAAGAATTTGTGGAGAGATATTGAACACATTAACCAAAACCAACAGGGGCCATGGTTTCTTATTGGAGATTTTAACAATGTGGTTCAGACTATTGACAGAAGAGGAGGATCCATGGTGCAGATGAAAGAGTATAAAGATTTAACTGACATGATGAACCATTGTAACCTTAGTGAAATGGATACGGTTGGAGATTATTACACATGGTCCAATCGGCAAGGTGACAATATCATTCACTCTAGGATTGACCACGGGATGGCTAACACTGAGTGGTTTCAAAAGTACATCAGCATGTGCCTAAAAATCCTTACCCCTGGCATCTCTGATCATGCGCTTCTGTTGCTGTCTGGCCTTGATAATACTGTGAATAGAACACCTCAGTTCAAGTTCCTTAACTGTTCTACTGAGGTTGAGGGTTTTCAAGAAAACATTGCTAATAGCTGGAGTGTCCCTGTCCAGGGTAATCTCATGTATGTTATGTGGAGGAAACTGCTTAGATGCCAAAATGTTGTGCAGAAGATTAGTAAACCTTTGTTGGGTGCCACTGCTACCCTCAAGAATGCAAGACAGAAGTTACATGAGGCCCAACTGAAGCTCAGGGAGGACCTTAATAATCCTGAAATTATCCACCTTGTTAAAACCAGATCAAATGAGGTTTGTTACTGGAGTGAAATTGAGGAGCAGGTGCTGAGGCAGAGAGCTAAAATCAGCTGGCTCAGATTGGGTGATGGCAACAACAGGTTTTTTCATGCCCAGGTAAAAGCTAGACAAAACAATAGTGCTATTACTGGGATGTGTTCTATGACAGGTGAAATCCTTAGAGAGGCAGAAGACATTGAGAATGAGGTGTTGTCGTTCTATGGCAACCTCATGGGTAGTCCTAATAATAACTTGGAAGGTATAAACTTGACTGCTATGAGAGCTGGTCCTCACATTACTAGTGTTCAGAAAGATATGCTGGTTTGTCCCCCCACTGAAGCAGAAATTTATAGTGCCCTACATGACATTGGTGACCTGAAAGCCCCTGGTGTGGATGGTTTTGGGGCGAAATTTTTCAAAGCTTCATGGAGCATCATTAAAAAAGATACCATTGTTGCAGTTATGGATTTTTTCGATAACTTCAACATGTACCCTGCTGTTAATTATACTCTTGTGTCCTTGATTCCTAAAGGTAATGGTGGTAATTATGCGAAGGACTTTAGACCGATATCCTGTTGTACTACGCTCTACAAAATCATATCAAAAATCTTGGCCGGGAGATTAAGCAAGGTTCTTACTAGTATTATCAGTCAGAGCCAGGCTGCCTTCATCCCTGGACAGAACATCCATGATCATATTTTACTAGCGTACGAACTAATCCAAGGCTACAGCAGAAAAGGCGGTACTCCGAGATGTATGTTGCAGCTGGATATCCAGAAAGCCTATGATACCCTGGACTGGTATGCTCTAGAGTGTATTCTCAAGGAATTTGGCTTCCCTCACAAATTCACCAATTGGATTATGCTAGCGGTTACTACGGTATCTTACAAGTTCAATGTTGCTGGCAGAATTACTAGAATCATGAAGGCTAAAAGGGGTCTTAGACAAGGTGACCCTATTTTTCCCCTTCTTTTTGTTCTAACTATGGAATACTTTCACAGGCTCCTACACCAGTTAAGCAAAGTTCCTGATTACAACTTTCATGCAAAATGCGAAAAGTTGCAAATCATTGATATTAGTTTTGCGGATGATGTTCTCCTCTTTACCCGTGGGGATAGCAAGTCTGTACAGTTACTTATGAATCACCTACAGACGTTCTCCCAGTCCACTGGCTTAGTAGTTAACTCCGCGAAGTGTAGGGTGTACTTCGGGGGTGTGGAAAATGAGACCAAAAACGACATCTTGGCTTCTACCTCGTTTAAAGAAGGTGAGTTACCGTTTCGTTACCTGGGAGTTCCTCTCACGTGTAAAAGGCTTTCAACGCATCACTATATGAGTTTGGTAGACAAAATTGTAAGCCGAATTCGTCACTGGAGCTCTAAATTACTGAGTTATACAGGAAGACTTCAACTGATTAATAGCACCATTACTGCTATTGCAGCATACTGGATGAGCTGCCTCCCTTTCCCCAAGCAGGTGATCAAAACCATTAAGTCTATTTGCAGGATCTTCCTGTGGACAGGTAGCGATGTGAAATCCGGAAAATCCCCAATTGCATGGAAGAGTGTCTGTAAACCTCGGCGGAAGGGCGGTCTGGATGTGTTGGACTTATCAGATTGGAACATGGCTTGTTTAACAAAACTATTGTGGAACCTGTGCAACAAGAAGGATACTCTTTGGGTGAAATGGATCCACGCATTTTATTTCAAAACTACAGATATTATGCAGGTCCAGGAAAAACAGGGTATGTCGTGGATTCTAAAAGTTGTTCTTAGACACAGAGTCATCATTATTGGCATGGAAGATTGGTATGAAATGAAGGAGAAATACTCTGTGGGGAGAGTGTACCAGTTCCTAAAGAAGGATGACCCCGATGTTGGATGGAAACACATGTTATCCAACACTATTGCTAGACCGAGAGCTCCTTTTACTATGTGGATGGCTTGCCACTATAGACTTGCGACAAGGGGACGACTCAAAAGACTTGGCCTTACGACCGACGACAAGTGTAATTTCTGCGACAAGAAGGAAACAGTTGACCACCTTTTATTTGAGTGTCCACTGTTTAGAACCTGTTGGCAACAAATCTTGGTGTGGTTGGGGTTTCAACATTTCCCGTGTGAATGACGTGAGGAACTTGAGTGGTTAATCACACATTGCAAAGGTAAAGGTTGGAGGAAGTGCATTCTACGTAGTGCTGTAGCGGAAACCATTCATGAAGTTTGGAGATATCGTAACAATGTTGTGTTTGGAAATACGACGAATGTTTTGGATATTAGAGATTTAGTCATTTCTACCCTTGCGAATAGAGGGTGGGTGAATACTAGAATGAGGCATCATATAGCTCAATTACTTATAGAGTAGTTGTGGTTTTTTGGTTGTTCTGTGATTGGGTCCTCTATACCCTTGTATATTCTCTTTTTATTTTATATAAAGCATTATAGCATTATTCAAAAAAAAAATTTATATAGGTGGTAACTTACACATTTAATATTTTTATATAGGTGGTAACTATTAAAAATATCCGTAATTTCAAATGGATGCGAGTTATTTGTTAGTACCACTTATATTATCATTTTTTAAAAAACTAGCTATTACAAAAATTAAGAATTTAATTGATATGTATTGAAGTGTAAAAATATTTTACACGATCAATAAATCATGATATTTGATGTAGAAACGACAATAAATACTTGGGTACGTGTATTAGTTTCATGTTATCACTATTAAAAATAAGACGTTTGGTTAAATGATTTTACATCAGATTTCAAGATATATGATGTGAAAATATTTGTCAAAAGATTTAACATCAGATTTCATAATAATATGAAGTGAAAAATATTTGATTTAGGGATTTTACATCAGACATTTATTTCCACTGATGTGAAAAATAACGTGGTGGCAGTTTCGTAAATAATAAGAAATTTTGTTATAAAGGATTTCACATCGGGCCTGAATTTGCACCCGATGTGTAAAGTTCACTGATGAAAAAATAACAAGGTGACAGTTTTGTAAATAACATGAAGCTTTGTTATAAAGGATTTCACA